CCCAGAGTTTGTGAGTTCTAAGGCAAATCCCAATCAAGGGGAGATTGTAACAGTTTCCCTAAGTTTGTGAGTTCTAAGGCAAATCCCAAACCTAAGCGCTATTGAAATAGAAATTAGAAGCAAGAATCTGGAAAATAAGACAAAAAGAAAGCATAAAAGGAATGTGATTCAGAACCCATAAAGCACAAATCCAGAACGATTGTACAAAAGTGTGTGCAAATGAGCAAAAAGCCAAGAACAATAGCAAGATAGCAAGTGTGTGCACCAAATGTGTACCCAGAAAAAGATGGCACAGAAGCAGGATCGTGAACAAATATGATGAAATTCAAAAACATAGATGAAGAATTCAAGAACTTGAAGGCATTCACAAAAACAGTGTACAAATGTAACAGAGTTCGAAGTAAGTCAAGAAACTGAAAAGAGGAACTTACCAAAGAAAATGGTGCCGGAGTGAGATTCGCTGAAGTTAGATGACAACGGTGAATGGAACGGAGCGATGAATGCTTCACTGAAAGGGACGAACAGAGCAGGTTATAGAGCTTGAGAGCTTGAAACAATGGAGGATTTGGGAGATAAGTGTTAGAGAAAGAAAGCTTAGGAGAAGACGAAGATGCAAAAGTGAAAGGAAGAAGAGAGAGAGAGGTGTTTTTTTATCAAAACATGGAAATGCGGAAAAATTGCAATTAATGTGCCTAGGATGACGACATGTCTATCAGGCGGCGGGCGCAGCAGCGACGTGACCTGATGGCGCGTGTCAGGTACGGTTCAATAGGGAAGAGACGCGTGGCGAAAATGGTTGAGTTATTGTGCGTGACAGCTCATACGCGTGTAGAAACTCTTGGAGTTCTTGATTTAATGAAGCAAAGACCTCGGCTAGGGGAGCGATCTCGGTTAAGGAACTTGGAAAACTTGGCTCTTGGTTCTAAGGCATTGACAAAACACACTGAAGTCTTGGTCATATGGAGCCGATGTGTGATAACCTCAGTAATGAAGGACATAGTAAGCTTTAGCCGACATGCTATATGAACGAATGATATAGGTTCTATCACCTCAATATGCCGAGGTAATAGAACCTAGGGAACAGTTGTGGGGGCGTATTTTTTGAATAACAATACGTGGCCAAAATGGCACTGAAGTGCCAGCCGAGGTGCCACGTGTCCTGGTTTTGGCGCCAAGGTGATCTCGGCTAGGCCGAGGTTACCTGTGAAAGTACCGGAATCCGAGATGAACGGATAAGGGATAAGAGTCGTAGAATGAGGGAGAACCTCAGCCTGGATAAGGATAAAGCTCTTAGGGAGTTTGTCTTTATCTATTAAAGAGTCCTGGATGAGCATTGGGCCAGAGTCCGAGAGAAGCTAGGCTTCTACAGGGATCATGTGAGTGCTGACTATAAAAATAAGGCACCCTCATGGGTCTAAAGTACGCTTTTTATATTCTAACTAAGTGAGTTAAGCATTATTTGCTATCTTTGAGAGATAATTGAGTATTGACTTGATCGTCGGAGTGCTCCCAGGTGGAAGAACCACCGCCGGAGTCTCATCTTTCTGTGACAGGTTGTTTGGGCGTAATCTATTCTGCCGGTGTTCTCCAACCGAGTACCTGTTTGGCTGTGTGGTCAGAAAACAGCACCCACAGTGTATATTATTATCATGCAAAATTTTAAAGTGAATTAAGGAGCTAAAGTCGTTGGATAAGAATTCTGCACATAATCACAAATTTTGAAAATTAAGAAATCATATCAAATAGATGAATTGTGAACTAAAAATTTTACAGTAGATTAATTTCATATTGAATTGCATACCAAATTTTTCTTATAATTTTTGGAAGTCAAAATCTATATTAACTGGTGCGTTCAAATCTGTCCAGAAAACTGGTGTAAAACAGTAACTTCAGAAGTGTCGTTCACTTTGGGTATAAATCTGAAAATTATCAAATCAGTGTCATTAGAACCGGTTATGAATCCAGTTTCGTAAATTTTGGCCTTGCATTGATTGCTCATGTACACTACGAGAACCATTAATTTCTTTAAAGTGCTACAGAAAATAACCTGTTTAAAATCAAGTATAAATGATTATTTTGATAAGCAAATCAAGTAAAACCAATTGGGTTTGAAACTTAGGATATATTAGCTGATATTTGGAGGTTTTGGAATTTTTTGAATAACGTGGAGTGGATTTTTAATTTTCAAAGTTAGTGAATAGATTGGGAAAATTTGTTTAAAATTCTGTTTTATCTTAAAATTACTTTTAATTAAGTTTCGATCTGAACCCATGTCTTGAGTAATTTGAGACCTTGAAGAACATGAACTTAGGTGTCAATTAAGAGTAACTGTGAGTGGGGTTGAGCTGTGTTAGTGCGCTTTAGTGTGGGGTATTTAGTTTGTTATTCTTTTTAGTATTTTTAAATTAGTAATGGCGTATAGTTTTCATACTTGGTTCAGGACACTAGTTGGACTTTTATACTCTATTCGAGGATTACATTATTCCGTTTTCAGATGAATAGTTGCATGCTACATATTTTTATAAATGTTCCCTTACCCTGAACTGTTGGAAAATTAAATTATTGTTTCAGGAGTAAACTGCTTTAATAAATTATTATAGTATCAATGGAATTAAATTATTTTTGAAACATGTGTAAACTTGGCATACTGTAAACTATTTGTTATGGTCTCATGTTTATAATGATAAACTATCATGTTTTCCGAAACTGAATTGTATTGATTATTGGAACCATCTGTATATAAAAGTCCAGGGAAATTATTCCACTGTGTGTGGTGACTCTGACCACTAGGGGACAAATCCGGGTTGGGCTGTGATGACTCTAGTACTCAACGATTGTAAGGAAAAGACCTGGGCTAGGCTAGGTGACCTTCAATCGGATCGTCTTAGAGAAAAAAAACTCAGTTTGCCGCCCTGAGGATGACTCTTGGTTCGATATTGGATCCAATGAGCTTATTACCTTGAGAACTTTGTGGCGTGTTAGGTGTTATTCTTGGTACCCGGAAAATTTTGGTGATCATGTTGTAATCTGTTTTAAGTGGAGAATGTCATTTGTTATGTTCTTGAGAGATATAAGTATTTTAAAATTTCTTTTTTAAACAAAATGTCTTTATCAAAACTGTATGTCAATCTAGTTTCTGTGATATATATCTTATTTTAGAATTGAACCTTGTTTTTAAAACTGTATTTACTATCCATACTTCTACTCACTAAGCTATCAGCTGACTTAGCCTCTGTTTGGGAAGTGGGTTGGCTTTTTGGCTTTTTTGGCTATTTTAGCCTGAGCTAAAAAGTTTGGTTTGGGAAGAGCTTTTTGACTTTTTGGCTTTTTGACTTCTTTTGTGAGAGAAGAATGTAATGATTATGGGTTTGATGTGATATTTTGTTTTTTGTGGCTAAAATAGCCTATTTTGTCTTTTGTGGCTAAATAGTCAAAAAAAGTCCCGTTTAGCTCTTGCCAAACGGAGCCTTAGTTGTTTATCATTTTCAGGTGTTAAAAGGATTTAGAGTGGACTCATGGTGTAGTGGGGACTCAATTGCATGGACCTCTAGGACATTCATTGATTTTGTTTTAGCTTGTTATGTCGGATTTTGTGCATACATTGTGGTTGGGTTTTATTTAGAATTATTTTATTTTGTGGGCGGTTTGTGTCCCATTTAGTATATATATATATATATTTTGGAAGTTAGTTATGGCTTGTTTTGCCATGCATACTTATGGCATGTCTTTGGATTAAGTTTTGATTTATTTATTACTGGACTATTGTTACATGTATTCTATGTGATTATGGTTTTGTGCTTAGGCTTACGTGTGCCTTGGGCTAAGGCCCTGTGGGCCACGGCCGGTCATGTCCGGGTTTGGGGTGTAACAACATTTGTGGGGTGTGACAGCATTTGTGGGGACATAATTTTCGTATTGTCCACGTGGCTTGGTTGTTAGCTAAGGTGCCACCTTGAAGGATGTGATTGGCCAAGGTGTGATTCTGTCACACCAGATCCAAGATATTCGGAAGAGGACCTGAGTCCTAGTAGAAGACAGACTCCATGGTTGGATAAGTTAGGACTCTTGTGAGAGGTTTATCCCAATCCAACTAGGAGAGATGAATCTTGAATAATGTTATTCCTATGGGGAATAAGTGTCCTATTAAAGTATGTCATATAGAATGAAGAGGGCACTGGTTCTATATAAAAAGAGGCACCCCCAGGGGGTCAAAGGAACATTTTTAACTAGTGAGTTTATTGCTCGAGTTGTTACTTTGTGATTATCTTTGAGAGATATTGTTACTGACTAGATCGTCGGAGTGTCTCCCAGTTGGTAGCAACCAATTTAATTGATTTGTTTCTTATTTCAAGTTGTGGATTCCATCTAGTGCACATGCTCTTTGGCTTTGTTCCCTGGATCTTAGGAAGAAGATCAGAGTTGGTTGTGTAGTCAGATTTTAACACACAAAATTTATAGTGAAAATGTATATATAATTATTATAAATAAATAAATACAAATTTTTTTTGTGTTTAAAAGATGTTTAGGTAAGATTTTCAATCATTTTGGTGTAATTTCGTGTTATTTGAGATTGTAGCTCTGGTTCATCAAACAACTTGAGATTGTTCAGTCTTCGGTAGCCGAGCAATTTAAGTATGTATAGATATTTATGGCTAAACATAGCAAATTAATAAATTTTGGCCCGTTCGGTGGGACACAACCGAATGTTCAACCGTGTCCTGCTGTCGCTGAACAAACAAAATTTGTGTGGTTCTAGTTTGTCAAACAAAACACGAATGCTGGAAAAAAAATGTCATTCTTTGTTCCAATGGACAGGTTAGAAATGTGTGCGGTTGTCGAAGAGTGTGTAGGGGTGATAGAGAGAATACATAAGGGGTTAAGGTGATGGCTGGAAATGAAATTACCCGTGCAAATGAACAGGTTAGATATCAATTTTTAAACAAATATGATGTGCAAATGAAATCACCCGTGTACAACATAAAAATGGGATGCATTTAGAAGCACCCTTACAACATATCTAGGGGTAATCAACCTTAACATGCTGGTTTGAGTGGTTGTTTTCTCAAATAATGTTATAAAGCTCCTCTAATAACAAGGGGAAGAAAGGAGAGCCTTCAGGACAGTAGATAGATGAATATGGGGATCCTGCTATGTCATAAGTCACAAATATCCACATTACTTACACAATCATATATATATATATATAATTATATTATCACGATATTGATTATTTACTAAATATTCTCTACCTTTAATTATTGTGAGTTCCCATGTAATCAGATTAATATTTGCTCCCTACATTTCAACATGGTCCCAACCACATGATCTGTCTTCAAAATTATTTTCTAATTGTTGAACCTCATTGTGAGTCAATCTGCTCATTATAGCAAGACCTGAAATAAACACACACACACACATACAAAAAGAAGCTAATTTTGGATTAGGAAAAAAAGAAAAAAGAAAAAAAAAGTAAAGTGAAAGGACATCATCACCTCCTATTGGTGGTTTCCATCTATACAGTTACCAAAGCAAATAAATTCACTAACCTTGTGTATTATTAGGAGATTTGGGAAGGAATTTGGAAACGAAAAGGGAAAAAGTGTGTGTGAAATTAGGTGAAATGTAGATGTATTATATTTATATTTCACTTTTTTTCTTTTTCCTTTTTCCAAATCTCCCAACCAAACACAGCGTAAAAAGCTCAGTGAGAACTAACAAGACAGTGCTAGTAATTTAGATCACTGCCATTTTGGATTAACATCTTTTCTGGCATGAGGGAAAAAATATATCTTTTCAAATTGGGTAAAATTCACTTTACCCATTGTGGTTTGATCTTGGAGCATTTTATCCCCTATGGTTCAAATATAGGCACATAGCTCCCTTGTAATTTTGGACTAAACTGCACCATAAACTCTGTTAATGGAAAATGAAAAAAAGACCTTTATACCCTCATCATTGTCATCCGTCTCTTTCTTTATTGACAAAAAAATCAACCATTATCACTAGTGTATTCAACCCAATTACCACCATTTATTTTAATGGATAAAAAATATACATAAAATAATCTCATATTAAAAATAAATACGTATATATCTCATAAAAGCTATGCATATATACACACACACCATTAAAGTTATAGATATGTATATATATCTGGTAATTGAAATATGCCTATAACTAAACCCAATAATTGAAAGAGGCTAGTTGAAGGGTAAAAATGACTTTTTGCATTTTTATTTTACTTTGGTTTAAAAAAAAAATTATATCCACTTTGTGCATTAAACCTTTTGTTAATTTTAATTAAGTGTTGCAGTTTAGTCTAAAATTATAAGGGAGTTGCCTGCTATATTTGAACCATGGGGAGCTAAAGTGCTCCAAGCTCAAACCACAAGGGGATAAAGTGAATTTGGTCCTTCCAAATCATGTGTAGAATATATCGCCACAAAGTGAACGGTCATTAAATAATTAAGACTAATTAATCAAAGAAAATCATGCGAGTTCGAAGGTTGACTTGGGCTACTCACTCAGTTTTATCTTAGTTCTTATAGAAAATGATTCCATATTCATCCAATTTCATGACTAATAATATAGTATAATAGGCAACATAGAACATAACAATTAGTCAAATCAACCTCTATTGCATGCGGCAATGAATAAAACATAATGGGCATGCAAACATTGTTGTGTAAATTCACTTAAATTTAACTATATGTTTTATAAATAAAAAAAAGCACACCACGTGTAGAATTAGTGCAGCTGTGTGTATGCTTGTATGCATCTTAGTACCTTCAATAACTTTGTAGAGAGCTGACCGCCATCTTTCTCTAGGAAACTGGTATTGATCTAGCGCCTTTTCGATGACTTCGTCATGTTTCCCATGCAAAACTTCGTGAAGGGTTACAACCGCATCCTTAGTTTTCTTGACAATATTGTTCTCATCTTCTATCATTTCCAAGGAGGGTTGAAGAAGTGAGGAAGCCATATTAACATTAAGTGCAAACTGCAGAGCAGCAGCCCAGTGGGAAGAGGCTACCAGTCTCCGCTGCTGCCCATTAAATATCTCTTCTCCCTCGGACTTATTCTCTCCTTCTCCTCCTCCGAGTACTAAGCTGCGTAAATACTGAGCATTTGCAGCCCCTGTACTCTGAACCATCTTTGAGAAACCACTTGCTTCATTCAACAATAGTTTCTCTGGGGCATCATATTCCATAACCTGAAAAATAGGTGTTAACAATTTCTTACTACTGACATTCATACAAAACAACTCCAACTCAAAGACAGATGAATATTCAATGTAAGGGCACACCTGACCAGCATCAAGCACCAGAATCTGATCACTATCTATAATGGTATTAAGTCGATGAGCAATGATGAGCATTGTGCATGATCTGAATTCTTCTCGAATGGTTCTCTGGATAAGTGAGTCGGTTCTAACATCAACAGCTGCCGTGGCTTCATCAAGAACAAGAATTTTTGATCTGCGTAACAATGCTCTCCCAAGACTCAATAGTTGCCTCTGTCCAACACTGAAATTCTCCCCAGCCTCTGTAACCTTTACATAGTCACACACACACAAAAAAAATTACTTTCTTTTTTTTGGTAATTATTCCTTCTTTTGGACAGTAAAAAATATTTCATAATGGGTCAAACCTTAAACTATAATAATTTGTACACATAAATAATTCCATTTAATTTGTACACATTGATTTAACTCTAAATGTTGTAAAAATGTCATTCAAACTATTGTAATCATATTAAAGGACAATAAAATAAAATAAAACTCTGTCAAATTTTGACTTCACTTCAATCACTAATAGTTTAGTCAACTTTCACAGATGAGATACGAATATCATACATGTTTCATTATCACTTTACAGAGCATAGTGTACAAGTCTTGAAGCCTTGGAAGCAAGGATGCTATGGAAGTTCTTCATCGGCATGTGAGTTGCTATGGGAGAGATTCATCAGCATGTGAATTGCTATGCACTGCTATTATTGCATAATAATACCCACTAAAAATACAGAGAAGCCTAATAAATAATGATTACCCTAATAAATAGAAGTAAATGACTAAACTGTCCTCAATCATTAATACAAAAAATACTTCATATCTTAAAAACCAGCAACCATCCAGATAGGTTGCTTGACCGAGATAGAATCAAGTCCTTAGGTTGTCAAAAATGACCCACATTTAGAAGTGAGCCAAACCTGGTGGTTTGTTACATCCTATGGGAGCATTTGTATAACGGTTGAACCATCTTGGAGAAGGGGCTACATTTGTGGATAATTGGTGTTGAATTCTTGCATGACATCCTGCATTCTCTCTTCCTTGACACCATTATCCCCATGCTCATAGGTTATGATTCTCTGTTCCATGTCACCATTATCCATATGTTTCTAGGTCATATGGCTATTTCCTAGGATTTAGGAGTGAGCCAAACCTAGTGGGTTGTTACATCCCATAGGAGCATTTGTATAACAGGTGAACCATCCTGGAAAAGGGGACACGTGGCCCACATGTTGGAGAGTAATCTGCTTCCCCATTTATAGTTGCCTAACTGTTTTGTTGAGAGAAAATTGGGGCAGGGTCTATAGTTGGTTCTTGAAAACCAGGGATCCGTAACCGCCTCTTTGACCAAGTCTAACCCTTCGTTTGTTGCTATGGATAGACCAGGGTGCAACTTCTATGAGTTGACCCAATTATCATTTGAGTGTAAGTTTCTGAATAAACTTGTATATTTCAATGTGTAAAATACATAGATTACAATCTGATTTATATAGTAATTCTACACTTAAAACTAAAATAGGAAATAACAATAAATCTAATATTCTTGCAATCAATCTTATATTCTCACACCCCTGCTCAAGCTCAAGGTATTTTAGTAGAAAACACGAAGAGTTTGTCAAGTCAAAACTGAAACCGAGCAATAGTGTGAGTCTTGGTAAAGAAATCAACAAGTTGTGAAGTAGATGGAACGAATGGAAGCAAAGTAGAGCCAGATTGCAAATACTGGACGACGAAGTGACAATCAATCTCAATGTACTTCGTGTGCTCATGAAAAACAATGTTATGAACAATTTGTGTAGCATTGCGGTTGTCACAGTAGTGAGAAGTCGAAGAGAATTGAGGAACACTTAAATCATACAAGAGACAACAAAACCAAATAGTCTCAGTAGTGCCATGGGCTATAGCACAGTACTCAACTTTAGCAATAGAACGAGTAACAACAGTTTGTTTCTTACTTTTCCAAGAAATCAAGGAATCATTAAAAAACATATAGAAACCATAAGTGAGCTTGTAGGCAATGACATCACCATCCCAATCAAAATTAGCATAGGCTACCAAATCTAAAGAAGAATTGGATAATAACAACAAATCCTAAGAGATAATACCCCAGATCCTTCATTTCGAAGATATGGAAGAGATGTTATTTGACCTCAGAGATAGCAGAAAAGTCAGAGCCAATGATGATCATATCATCGACATAAAGTAATAGGGCAACAAAACTAGCAGAGGTATAGAGGAGAAACAAAGCAGAATCCTAGGCACAAGGATAAAACCCACACTGAGTAACAACCATCTAAAAGCTATACTAAGCACGAGGAGATTGCTTCAAACCGTAAAGAGCATGCTGAAGAGGACAAACATGTCCAGAAGAATGAGGAAGGCCAGAGGGAGGACGCATGTAGACCTCCTCAATGACATGGCTATTAAGAAAAGCGTTGTTAACGTCAATTTGATAGAGAAGCCAATGACGGACAGCAGTGACAAATCAATGTATGAACAGTAGTCATCTTAGCGACAGGGGCAAAAGTCTCCTTATAATCAAAACCATACTCCTATGAGAAACCATTACCAACTAGGTGAGCTTTGTAGCGCTTGGGACAACCATTAGAATGAGTCTTGACTTTAAAGACCCATTCACAACCAACTAGATTCTTGCCAGCAAGTAAAGGAACCAGCTCCCAAGTAGTAGTCCTCTGTAATGCAGACAACTCATCCTTCGTAATTTGAACCCAATCAGGATTCTAGTAGGCCTCCTTATAAGATTGCGGTTCTAAAAAGGAATGAGTAGCAGACAAGAAAGTGCTCTATGAAGGAGACAAACATGTATTAGAAAAACCAATGTGAAATCCCACATTTTTGAGGTATTACATATTTTACTGGGAGGTATTGGTGATTTATTCAGATATTTATCGGATACCGATACTCCTTGGATACTCACGGATACGTATCGGATACTTCTTAATTAATTTTTTATTAATTTTGAAGTATCGGATACTTAATTTTGAAATATTAGATACTCGAAGTCACATATTACTTCTAATACTTTGTTTAGTTCTTTGATAAGGGGAATATAGTGAGAGTTGAAGTAATAGAATTTGTTAAATTAATTTATCCTTATTGTCTCTCTCTCTCTCTCTCTCTCTCTCTCTCTCTCTCTCTCCCCCCCACAAGTTTCTTCTCCCTGCTATTTTTTTTTTTTTGTGTTGGAATGCAAGGATGATGTTTAATTTTCTTTTGCTTTTGCTTTTGCTTTTGCTTTTGCTTTTTTTTTTTTTGCTTTTGCTTTTAGTTTTGGATATTTTATGAATGTTTGGAGACTCTTACCTTAATAGGAATCCTTTTATTTATTTATTAATTGCTTCAGGTTTTATTTTCATGCAGATTAGATTATTGAAATTATAAAAAATAAAAAAAAAAATTTACGAATGTATTCCCACTGTACATGTATCCTACTTTTTCATATTTTGACATATCGCTGTATTCGTATCCCCGTATCCTGTATCCATGCTTCCTAGGATACCTGTTGATTTATTCTCTATCTGAGCATTATTATTCCTGTTGTGTTGTATACTTCCCGAGTTAATTTATTTTTCAGGTGCAAAGCAATTTAGTGGCGATCATATTTGAAGTACTAAAGAATTTTTTTGAGTTAGAGATTTTGAGCCCACAACTATATATTATTTTTTAACACAGTTGTATAAATTATATTTTTTGGAGACATTTATGTAATTATTTTTGGAGATGATTTGTATATTTGAGGTTATTAGCTATCTGGAGTTGTAAATTTAAGATTTATTTAATTTATTAACAGCCCAGAAGTTGGGGTGCTATGACCAAGCTTTACCACAGCCTTACATTGATGAAGGGGCTACCGACGGGCATTAGGATTAGTGTCATTAGAAGCAAAAGGATCAGCAGTAAGGGCAAAAACAACTAGTGGGGGAAAAGCCTTGCGATGAGAATAAATTAACAATGGAGGAGGAGCAGAAGGGAGAGTAGGAGGAGAAGGGGGAACAAGCTTAGGGGGGATAATCGAGATGTACTTATCAAGAGGGACTTCAGAAGGACATGAATCAATGTGAACTAAATCCTCTTTGGAAATAGGGGCAGTGATAGGAGGAAGTTGAAAGTAAGACAAGTATTTGAGAAAGGCAATATGGCAGGAGAGATAAAGGCGACGGGAGATGATAGCCTTTCTAAGTAAGATTGTAACCAAAAGAGACACACAAGATAGACTGACCTAAAGACACGAAGGAGGAAGTAATTGGGAACTTGGAAAAACAAAGCCTCATAAGAATAATGACAAGAAAGAAGGGGAGTGGCCATACAGTTGAGAAGAAAAGCAACAGTAAGAACTGCTTCACTCCAAAATGGGTTCGAAATCGAGGCAGAGAAGCAGAGACCGAGAAGTCTCAAGTAAGTGACAATGTTTACGCTCAACCCTGCCATTCTGGGTGGGTGTATCAGAATAGAAAATTTGGTGAATGGTATCCAAATTAACTAAATACTCACAAAACTCAATTTTAAAGTATTCCCCATCCAAGTCAGACTGCAACATTTCAATAGTAAACCCAAACTGTATAGTGATCATAGGCTGAAAAGTACGGCATATCTAGTAGAAGTCAGACTTATGAGTCATAAGGTAAACCCAAGTGTAACGGGTGCAATCATCAACAAATGACACATAGTATGCAGAACCCTTTTTGATGAGAACAAGAGAAGGGTCCTAAATATCAGTATGGACTAAAGTAAACAATGTATCAGAAATAGAAGTACTCATATTAAAAGGTAATGCTATCATTTTGACAAGTTTACACCCCTGACATTCAGTAATTGGATTAGGGAAAACTTTACCCAACAATCCTGACTGAGCCAACGACCTTAAGAATTCAACAGATAAATGGCCTAATCTAGAATTCCATAAATAAAATTGACTTGACTGAGAATCTAACTGAAAGGATGAAAGAGTAGTCAGAGAGGTGGACAAAAGGAGATGCAAGCTTTCCACTACATAAAGGTCTCAAACTGTTACTTGGACATCCGATCCCTGCACATAACAAAAAAAAAAAAAGAAAAGATAACATCAAAATCGGAAGCATCAAGCTGACTAGTTGATAGTAAACTGACTGATAACTGAAGAATATAAAAGACAGATGGAATAGTAGTGGCAGACATGTCAGATGGTAGGATAAACCCAATAGATAGAACAGATATACTAGACATATTAGCAGCACTAACAGTAATAGGAAATGGAGGGGGAATATAGTTTTGAAGTAAAGAGACTTGATGAGTCATGATGAGACACAAAAGAGACAAAAAGCTAGACAGAAGGAGAGATACCTGAAGAGGACTCAAGCAAACCTGAATGAAGAGAGGTAAGAGTGGAGGCAGACGAGGATAGTTGGGAGGTAGACAATACACTCTAAAACTGAGTAATTTAAACACTCAAGGAAGCCAAGTCAAGATCAAGAGCTAGAGCAGATGCAGTATAAGCTTCAGGAGGCCGAAAAGTACTCATAGAAGGAGCGGGAAACTGGGTCTAAGACTGTTGAGAAGGCAAAGCAAGCAGACGTCCCTTCTTGGGACAGTGACACTTCCAATGGCCCTTCTAATTGTGGAAAGCACACTAATCAGAAGCGAGGGGCCCCTTCTTGGGCCTAGCAGAAGCCTGCAACAGATGTATAGATGGGGACAACAAAAGTAGAGGCTAAATAGAAGCCAAGAAGACAGATGGGGATAGAGCTTAACTGGCCGTCTTGAGACGGGCTTCCTATAATAGGAGCTCATGAACTATAGCATCCACAGAAGGGAGAGGAGAACAGTAAAGGATGCCACCTTGGATGGTCTCAAACTGAGGAGAAAGAGCTGTTAAGAATTGCACCAAAAGACATTCCTCCCGGAACTACAAATAAGCATCAAGTACCTTAATGCTAGATAGTTCCATGAGGGCCAGCTAATCCTAGAGACCCGTTATCTCAATGTAGAAATCCTGAATAGACCGATCCCGCTGACTAGCACTTTAAATAGCTGATTCCAACTCATACCGCTTGACAAAGTTGGACTATTGATAAACTCCCAGTAAATAGTTCCACACCTCCTTGGCAGTAGCGTATTTGAAAAACATCATCCCAATACAATCTTCAATAGAGTTGTGAAACCAAATCAGAACTTGGGCATTGTCACAATCCCAAATGTCACAAGCAATCAGATACTCGTCCTTTTTTAAATCTGATGAACGAGAAATAGAACCAGAACATACCCCAATTTTTTTCGACTGAGAAGAAAATTCTTCGTAACACTAGCCTAATAAGCATTGTTGGCACCAATGAGTTTGAAATTGATGGCTTGGATTTTGTTTTCCAACATCTCGAGAGTGGTAGTAAACAAAGAGTGTAAAATCTCTCAACAGGGGCTCAATTGGAATTAGACCTACAAACTATGGCAATCTGTAATAAACCAAAAACTTTGCCAATAGAGTCAGTATTTGTGGGTCAATCAGAGGTCATGAACACACAGGGACCACACAGAGAGAGAATCCCAAGTTGGCAAACCAGATGAGCTAGAGACAAGAAGTAGAGGTGAGACATAGAGGTCACGAACACTAGATGGGTGGTGATTTGAGGCAAACAGGTCACGATGGATTGTGATTTAGGGCTGCGAAGCGGACGGGTCGTGAGGCAATGAGCTTCAGAGATGCGAACAAGGGTCTGAGAACAGAGGGGATGAATCGACATTCCGGCGTTGGGTGGGTGGGTGGCGATTCCAACAAGATCAAAGGTTGATCGCGATCTTGATAAGTGCAACTTCGGACGATCAAAAAAGAGGTCGAACGAACGGAAAACACGGCTAGGGTTTTCTCACACAGCTTTGATACCATGTAAGTTTTTGAATAAACTTGTATATTTCAATGTGTAAAATACAAATAGTACATCTGATTTATACAGTAATTCTAGACCCAAGACTAAAATAGAAAATAAGAATAAATCTAATATTCTCACAATCAATCTAATATATTTACACAATCAATCTAATATTCTCACATTGAGCCCCACGGGTTGACCCATAACCACCTCTCCTTTATTTGTATCTTCATGCCATGTGGCGACCTCCTATTGGCAGTGCCAAATAAGGTACAAACAAAAACATAAGTTATGATATCTCAAACTTAGAACCTCATCAACAGAAGCTTGGATTTTTACCACCAAGCCATCACCTAGCTTTGTTTAGCTATAGCAAATATAATTTATTTATTACATTATTCTCATTTTGTCTAAACACAACTTCAATTAATTTGACTACAAACAATATATACGTATAAACTTATATATTTGATTAACATATATGTATGTTAAAATATAAAAATAATTAATATTTTTAATACTTATATTTTTAAATTTATTTTTTAATACATTTATGAGGTAATTATGACGTCACGGTTCGATTCCGCTTGACTTGACGTTGAACTAGTGACCCTTGACTTGGTCCCTTTTCTGGTTTGACGAACAGTCTGTGGTTTAGAACATTGATCTAGAGTATAGAAAATGCATTAACCAAGAAAAAATCACGTTGTTTATGCCTACACCCTAGACACTTAAAACATTTGCATTGATCACAAAAAGAGAAAAACAAGATTATCAGTAAGAAGATTGAATCTCCTTGCATGAACACCTTGTATCCAATATCTGGTCTCGTTTTAGCATTTAGGTAAAAAAAAATACAAAAGATTGAGCAAAGAGAAATTAAGCTTATACCTCAACATCCAGACCAAAAGCATTCATTCTGATGACATCCTTTAGATGAGCACGCTCTAAAGCCTCCCAGAGGTCAGCGTCATTGTGTTCACTGAAAGGATCAAGATTAAATCGGATAGTCCCTAGCCAAATAAAATGAGTGTTAAATTAGTCACTATTGGAAGTTTTTTTCACGACATATTGTCGTGACAGGGAACAAAGGAATAAGTTATATTAACAAATATTAGTTTGGAAGATATAGTGGGAAGTTATTATAAGCAGGTGTAACTTGGTATAGCCATAGAGTTGTACTCAGAATGCCTAATGGAAAGATTGAGGAGCACTACTGACCATCAAACTATTTGATTGTCAATTTAATTAACATAGACATTAATTTGTCATTGATCCAGACATTTCAAGATTAGAATTTTATAAATTTTTAGTTGTTAAGTTATCGTAAATCCATATGTTTCATTACTTGACACTTTTTTTCCTTGAGTTTGTGCATATTTACGTATGCCTAGCTTGAGTGGTATCTATAATGGCAGGCCTTCCATCAAGGCCGGCCCTGAGATTTTTGAGGCCCAAGGCGAAATCTTAAAATTGAGGCCCTTTATAAACCAAACCAAACCAAACCAAACCAAACCAAGCCTTAAGCCCCATCAAATGGGGTCGGCTACATGAATCCTTCTTCTCCACTCGACTCTATTGACGACTATTTGGTTAGTCAAATTAAGGAGATTCATATCTCTATTTACTACACTAACCCACGTCAATCTAAGTTTGTCCCTTCCCCTAACACTTCCATCTACCGTCACTATATCGCATCTTTTCACTATTGCTTCCGTTGGACTCCGTTGTATATGACCAAACCATCTCAATCTATTCTCTCTCAACTTATCTTGTATAGGTACTACGCCTACCCATTCATGAATATACTTATTCCTAACTCTGCCTTTTATAGTGTTGCCACACATCCACCTTAGCATCAGCAACACTTATCTTATCTACATGTTTCTTAGTTGCCCAACATTCCGTCCCATACAACATCGTTGGTCTAATAGCCATTCTATAGAACTTTCCTTTTAGTCTAGTGGGTACTCGTTTATCGCAAAGTACCCCAGACGCACTCCTCCACTTAAGCTACCCCGCCTTAATTCTATGGATCATATCCGCTCCAATCTCCCTAACCGTTGTGATAATCAATCCTAAATAATAGAAATGTTTACTATTAGGTAGTTCTTGGTTCTTAATTTTCACTTCTCCTCTGCTTCCATTGTTACTGTTATTAAAATTACACTCCATGTACTCTGTCTTAGTTTTGCTTATCCTAAATCCTTTAGATTCGTGTGATTCTCTCCAAATCTCCAACTTAGTGTTAACTCCTTCTCTAGTTTCATTCACTAATATGATATCTTCTGCAAAAAACATACACTATAGCACATCATCCTAAATATTTCTCTTCAACTCATCCATAACTAACACAAAAAGATAAGGCCTTAAGGTTGATCCTTGGTGTAATCTCACAGTAATTGGAAATTCACTTGTCTCTCAAACAGGCAATCTAATAGTGGTCACCACACCTTCATACTTGTCCCTAATCACATCAATATAAACTTTTGTCACCCCTTTCTCTAACACCCACCAGATTATATCCCGAGGCACTCTATCATATAGTTTCTCAAAATTGATAAAAACAATATGAATGTCTCTTTTCTTTTCTCTATACTTTTCAATTACTCTCCTCAAAAGATAGATCGCTTCTATTGTTGACCTACGAAGCATAAATCCAAATTGATTCTCTAACACCTCTGTTATATCTCGCAATCGACATTCCATCAATCTCTCGCACACTTTCATTATATGATACATTAGCTTGATTCCTCTATAGTTGTTGCAATTCTAGACATCTCCTTTATTCTTATAAATTGGCACTAAAATACTCTTCCTCGGCATTTTTCTAGTTAACAGAATTTTGCTAAATAACTTAGTCAACCAAGCAACCCCTTTCATACCTAAACATTTCTAAGCTTTAATAGGGACATCATCGGGTCCTAAAGCCTTATTCAATTTCATCTTCTTAAGTGCAATCTCCACTTCAAAATTCCTAATCCTGCGATAGAACCTGTAGTCTTGGTTTTCCTTCTTACTAGCTACTTCCTCCCCTTTTAACGTTCCTCCATGTTCCTCATTTAACAACTTCTCAAAATAGTTCTTCCACCTCTCCTTAATCTATTCATCCTTCATCAACACCTTAGAGTCTTTACTCTTGATATACTTAACCTGATTAAAATCTATTATTTTCCTTTCTCTTATCTTAGCAAATTTGTATATTCTCTTGTCTCCCTCCTTACTACCTATCACACCCCAAACCCGGGTATGACCGGCTGTGGCCCACAGGGTCTTAGCTCAAGGCACACATAAGCCTAAACATGAATCCATAAACACATTGAATAACTATTTAATAGTCCAGTAATAAATAACCAAAGCTCAATCCAGTGACATGCCACAAGTATAAACAGCAAAACCAACCGTAATCAATACCATTCAAACTTATGGGATATAAACATCCCACATATCAAAATAATTCTAAATGAACTCTAATAAAAACAAAAAGAAATATGCAAAAACTTGACACAACAATCTAAAACAAAATCAATGAATGTTCTACAGGTCCATGCAATTGAGTCTCCGCTACGTCATGAGTCCACTCTAAGTCCTTCTAACACTTGGAAATGATAAACAACTAAGTCAGCTGATAGCTCAGTGAGTAGTAACATGGATAGTAAATACAATTTTGAAAACAGGGTTCGATTCCAAAATAAGATATATATCACAGAAACTAGATTTGCATACAATTTTGATAAAAATAATCTGTTCCAAAAGAAGGTTCCACAGTTCAACAGTTAAAATACTAATGTCTCTCAAGAACATGATAAATGACATTTTCCACTTAAAATAAATTACAACATGAACACCAATAATTTTCTGGGTACTAAGAATAACAAGTAACATGCCACACAGTTCTCAAGGCAATAAGCCTGTTGGATTTAATTATCGAACCAAGAGTCATCCTCGGGATGAACACGGGCCTTCTCTCTAAGACGATCCGATTGAAGGTCACCTAGCCTAGCCTAGCCTAGGCCTTTTCCTTACAATTGTTAAGCACTAGAGTCATCATGGGCCAACCCAGACTGTTCCCTAGTGGCTAGAGTCACCACACACTGGAATAATTTCCCTGGACTAAAATATACAAATGGTCCTAATAATCAATACAATTCAGTGTCACAAAACATGGTAGTTCACCATTATAAACATGACACCATAACATATAGTTTACAGTATGCCAAGTTTACACATGTTTCAGAAATAATTTAATTCCATTGATAATATAATAGATTATCAAAACAGTTTAGTCCTGAAATAACAATTTAATTTTCCAACAGTTCAAGGTAGGGGAACAATTATGAAAATATGTAGCATGAAACTACTCAATTGAAAACGGAATAATGTAATCCTCGAATAAAGTATAAATGTTCAACTAGTGCCTTGAACCAAGTATGAAAACTGCACGTCACTACTAATTTAAAAATACTAAAGAATAAGAAACTAAGTAACCTCAAACTAAAGTGCACTAATACGGCTCAACCCAACTCACCGTTACTCTTAAATATTACCTAAACTCATGTTCTTCAAGGTCTAAAATCACCTAAGACATGGGTTGTGAGAACCCGAATATACAAATTAAGTAAATAATTAAATAATAATAATTTTACAATCTCAAATATTTTGAAGGTGAATCCTAATGCAAATTAAATATTTGGAGGGTCTTTTAATTAATTTTAAAACCTAAAATAAATTTATGGTGAAAGTCTTTAATTTAGAGGCAAGAATTATTTTTTTTAAAAACAAAATAGAGAAGAGGGTGTGACTTAAACTCTTGACTACAAAATTAATAATTAAGGCTGTTACCATTTGAGTTGCATATAACTTATATATATATATATATATATATTGTATATTTATCTATTTATTTGACCTACACATGCTTTGGGTGTGCCCAACCACTAGTATTAAATAAAATAAACACAAATCCTACAATCTTATTTTTCACCACAAGTTAACAGCAGCCGTTTAGTCAAAAGGGAGGGGAAGAGAGTGGTGAGCAGGCACACCATTAGATTTTCGAGTGAATTCATTGTCTTAGGTATGCATTTTTCACCATTTTCCTTCCCTGTTTTCTTGATTTATTATTATCTATGATCATATTTTCATTGATTGAGCGTTGTCATGAGGAAGCAGTGCTATAGTATGGTGTTTGATTGGGATTTTATTACTATTTTTTTTGGTGCTCATACAAGTAGTGTTGATGGAATTTTAGAACTAGCAGCACATGGGGTATAGGTGTTCCTTTTGTGAATTCTAGTGATGGGTTCTCCACTGTAGAAAGTGTAATAGTGGATGTTAAATAGTTGTGCATAGTTAAGTGTTGTGTTTGGAGGTTGTACTAGTTGAGTGCTGGAAAATAGGACTTAAATTGGTAACTTAACAATGGAGTATTTCTTAATTCAAAAAAAAAAAATCTGTTCAGAACTACAAAATTTAAAAATCAAGAAACCATATCGAATTTTGAATTGAAATTTTTACAATAGATTAATTACATATGGAATTGCATGACAAAATTTTCATATAATTTTTGAGAGTCAAAATCTATATTAATCTGTCCAGAAAACTAGTGTAAAACAGTAACTACAAAAGTGTTATTCTCTTTGGGTATAAATCCAAAATTTATCAAATCAGCATCATTAGAACCGGTTAAGAGTCTAGTTTCTTACATTTTTGGCCTTGCATTGATTGATCGTATATACTAAGAGAACCATTAATTTCTTTAAAGTGCTGCAAAAAATAACCTGTTTTAATATAATTAATTGTAAATAATTATTTTGATAAGCAAATCAAGTAAAACCAATTGGATTTGAAACTTAGGATATATTAGTTGATATCTGTAGGGTTTTGGAATTTTTCGAATAGCGTGGAGCGGGTTTTGTAATTTTCAAAGTTAGCGAATGGATTGGAAAAGCTTGTTTAAAATTCTGTTTTATTTTAAAGTTACTTTTAATTCAGTTTCGATTTGAACCCATGT